TCTGGCGTGAGAAAGTCCCATCAAAACTAAAAGTGCTTTTGGTCCCAAAAGACCAGGTTGATCGGTTAAAATCAAACCTAATTCTTTCAATGCAGTCCTTAAAAACTTCCTTCTTTCTCTATGTCTGTAACCAGCCTTTTGCACTGCTTGATTGTAACATTCTTTCACTTCAGATACCCTTTTACTATATCCTTTTATGCTTTCAAAAAATGTTTGTATGTATTGATGTATGTAAATTACTTCATCTCTGAATAAAGCCAGCACCCAACCAGATTCTAAAGCTGTGGTCCACAATTTACTGGGCTGTTCCTGATTTAAAAACGAATGACATAAAGTAAAACCTAAAATAACCCATCTTTCTATTCTATCTAAACTTAAGGTTTCACAAGACATGGTGTCTGTTGCTGCTGCTTTAAGTATTTGTCCAGGACTTCCAACAAGACTAAGCTTTTGATCTGCTCTCCATGTGTCTGCAGACAAATTTCTTTCAGGATATATAGGCCACAATGAAATGAGAGCAGTCTTTAATAATTTAGAATGAGGAACAAATTCTTCCGAAAGTTTTTTTAATGGTGCATCATAATCCATAATCATTTGGCCCAAACGAGGAAAGCTAGGATCAGATTGACTATGTACCATTTCATGGGCTGCATTAAATAACCCTAATACTGCTTTACGATCCTCTACTTGTGATAAAAGTATCATTAAACTGACATATGTAACAACAAGATCCAAATAACCTTTTGTTAAATCAAAATTTATTGTAATATCCATATGTACTCCACAAGCATCCATTGTGGTTAAAAGCTCGCAAACATTATCTTTGAAATCAAGCAAATCAACAAAGGTATAATAATATAGAGATAAAGATTTAATGATTTCATTGCGAAGATTTGTAATTGTTTGGAGACTTTTAACATCAATATTAGGAAACTTTCTAACTATTGTCTTGATAGAAGATTCTAAACTTTTATCCGAAAGGAATGCAGGTTTTGATTTTGCATCACCACATGCCTTTTTTATATTATAAATTCGAGTTAACATTCCAATACCTCTGTCATTTAAAATAGTTAACTTTTCAGCTAACTTTTGTTGACTAGGTACTATAGGTCGTGCCATGTTTCTATTGTATTAGTTTTTATAAAGTCAGCATAACTTATTTACTTCTGTACCTTTAAATGACAAGAGACCCCACCCCTGGGGGTAATTTACTTTTACCGGATACGCCTAAAATAGAATAATTTTGTTCTCCTACAAAAAAAATATTATGTATTTGTCATATTCTCTTACAAAAAAAAGCAATGTCTAACTTTTATTGAAATGTATCTTACCTTTCCTGCATTTACATGTTTAATATGAGTCGATGACACAATAGAAAGAGATTTCTGTGTACGTCGAGTATCACATGAAGTATCATTCTTTTAGTGAACAGTGTAGCCAATAGTTTTAGTCACCAATATTTTAAATATAACGTTATCAAATTATTAATAATTTTAAAAAATTACATATATATGTCTTATAAAAAAAAATAACTATTTTTAAGAAAACACTTTTGCATTTATCAAAACACACTATTGAAATTAAAATATTTATATAAAATATTATACAAATCAAATTTTTTGACATGAACTAGATATAAAATAGATCTATGTAACAGATATTTGAAATTTACTTCTTGAACATACATATTACATATTTATAAGATTGTATGAAAATGAAAATTTAGTAACTTGAAGAGAGAACAGAACAAAAACTTCGTTTGTTCTATTCTGATTACACTTATGAATATTTATAAAATGTATATTACGACATATATATGAAAATATAAAATTATACATGAAATATATGTATCACATGTAGAAATACCTCAAATATATAGCAAAAATTTATGACATATAGAAAAATTAATTTGTATATTATAAAAATCTATATAAATTATATATATATTATATTTATTCTTAACACATATAATGTTTATTTTTTTCTTTATTATTTCTTTTTTCTCTATTCATTTCCATTTATATAAGAAGTTATAATTTTAAAATTATAATAATTAATCTAACGTCTTTTTTATTTCTACAATTATTTTAGAAGTAGATTTTGTGGGTAAGTTAGACAATCAATCAAGTTTTCTAAATCAACGCCATCTCGCGTTTGGATCACTGAAGCTTCGACTTGTTATTAGCATAACAGAATAACCAAAGAGGTATTGTAAGTCATAAAGAAGGAAAGTAATATTGTGTAAGAAGGACAGAGATATTTCAAATATGCCACATGGAAAATTCATTAATTACTCATTTTCTACACAAAATTTCTGAACTTTTGAACTTCTACCTTAAAGCTAGAATACTATGTAAATTTCTTGTATCATTTTTAACATGAAATTCTATTTCATTAATTATTTATTAATAATTAATATATCATATTGTCTAATACATCGACGACGCCATATTGAAAATTAATTAATTATTCG